CACCGCTACCTGTCGTCTTCGCGGCCGTCCCTGCAGTCATACTATACCCAGGTGTGTGAACTGCGATGGCCCACATGAATCCCACTCGCCTGTCTGCCCTTCTCGCCCCCGTCCAGCTACCCAAGAGTTTGAGGATGCGGAGGAACATGAAGAAGAGGTGGACATGGTTGGCTCTACATAGGTTGGGATACCTATAACGATGATGCCCTAGGGGTTTCTTGGGTTGGCTATTACGGTGCAAGGGGTGTGGTTTTGTGCCTGCCTCGACTGATTGCTTAGGGGAGACTGGCTTTGTACCGCCCCTCTGTCATGGCCCTATTTAGGGACAGTGCTGGAACTCTTTCTTGGGTGCCAGGTGGGGTTGATGATGGTGGATTTATTTTGTTATGAATTTTATGAGGATAAGAGGTGCGAGACCGGACTGCCGGTGGTAGTGATTTATTGATTGTGCTGGGATTTCCGTGGCCAGGATAGGTGGGGCGGATGGGTGCTGGACTGTTGATGGACTTGTACTTTAGCTTTGGTGTTGGTGCTCGCTCACCGGAGTGGTTAACTGTATGGGGCGGATGGATTGGTATCTTGTATTTAGTTGCCTGTATTTTGCGGGGGTAGCAGGGCCCCAGTCCCATCGGTGGATCCCGGCCGGCGTTAAGCTCCTGTCGGGGGGGCACTCGATCATAAGCCATGTTTTGGCGCGACGAGTATAAATAAACTTAGATATTATTCGGACACCTGTACCTAGGAATTACACTCTCTACTGTCTGGTGTCCTCTTGAACCCCTGAACCCTGACCCTGAGCCCCTGAACCCCGAACCTCGTACAACTCGCTTCAGTTGTGCCCCCGCACCTAGACCTCGTCTCCAGACTCCTGCCTGTCCTGATCGTGTGTGCCTTGGGCTACCTGACCCTCAGACCCTGTCCGTTACACCCAAGAGGTCTGGTATCAAAGTTAGCAGTTTGCTAGAACTCTGCCCGGGTAAAGACTACTTTCATAACAGGCTGTAGCTCCGCCGATATTGGTGCCTGGTAGACGTCCAGGATACCATTTCAAAGCTGGCGTCGGGTAGAATCAGGCCGCTGATTATTAAATACTACGCCCAAAGTACGCTTGAGGAATCTGGCATTAAACTCAGCACCCCGTCCAAACTCTCCCAGGGTATAGACCACTTTCATAACAAGTTGTAGCTCCACTGAGATTGGTACCGGATAGATGTCCGAGGTACCATTGGAAAGTTAGCATCATGTGAAATCAGGCTACTGACTATCAGACACTGCATGTAGAGGGAGCCTGAGGAATCTGGCATCAAAGCTAGCATGCCACTAGAACTTCATCAGGGTAAACTACACTTTTATAATAAGCAGTATATCCATCAATGTTGGTGCCGGGTAGATGTCCAAGGTACCGTTGGACAGCTGGCATTGAGTAGAATTGGGCCAAGGAGTATTAAATACTGCACTCAAAGGAAGCCCGAGAGATCTGGCGTCAAAGCCAGCAACCTGCCAGAACTTCACCAGGGTCAAGTATACTTTTACAACAGGCTGTATATCAAACAGTATTGGTGCCAGGTCGGCATCCAAGATACCGTTAGAAGGCTGGTATCAAGTAGAATCAGCCCAATAAGTATTAGATGCTGCATACAAAGGATGCCTGATGAATCTAGCATCAAACTCAACACTCCGCCAAAACTTTGCCAAAACTCCACCATGGTAAAGACCACTTTCATCACAGGCTATAGCTCTACCAATATTGGTACCAGGTAGACATTCAAGATACCATTGAAAGGCCGCGGTCACATAGAATCAGTCTGCTGTATATCAGATGCTTTGTCTAAAGAATGCCCGAGGTATCTGGTATCAAAGTCAGTACTCTGCCAAAGCTCTACCAGGGTAAAGACCACTTTCATAACAGGATGTAGCTCTACCAACATTGGTACCGAGTAGATGTCCGAGATACTGTTGAAAAGCCGCTGTCGCTTAGAATTAGGCCGCCATGTATCAGACACTTTCCCTAATGGATACCCTAGGAATCTGGTGTCAAAGTCAGTACTCTGCCTGAACTCTGCCGGGAAAAGACAACTTTCATAACAGGCTGCAGCTCCACCAATATTGGTACCAGATAGATGTCTGAGGTACTATTGAAAAGCTGGTGTTGAGTAGAATGAGAACATTGAGCATTGGATGCTGGACCTAAAGTTTGCCTAAGGAGTTGCACATCAAAGAACCTTGCCCACTAGAACCGCAAGCACTAGTAAAGAAAACAACAAAGTCCAGAATACAGGGGAGGTAGAATGCAGGACACTGGTAGGGGGACAGGCTAGTAGGAGGGTGGGGTGCTAGTAGAGGAGTGGGTGCTATTAAAGGGGTTATAAAGGGGGAGCAGCTGGTAGCTGTGTTTATCACTCGGACTCTCAGGATGGTAACTAGTTGGCATTGCTTACTTTGGATATAATCTAGACTTGGTACTTCCTAGCATTAGCACTAGGATACAACCTGACTGGGCACCGAACTACCTGATGCACAGGATGTAACCAGACCTGACATGCATGTACCAGATACACAAGACATACCGGATGCCAAATTGTCCCTGCTTGCGTCAGGACGCACTGCCCACAGGTCTGATGCAGGAATAGGTTTTACTGAAAAGAGCTCCTGGTTGTGAGCTTGCGAATGTGCAGGGGTTGTGGTGGCCAGCCACAACCTTGGCACAAGTACTTGGATACTGGATCCGCTCAGAGTCTGCTTATAAGATGCCTTAAACCCAGAGTTTGGGAGTAGAAACCTGTGGTTTTGACTGATTCAACTGTTTTAGAAAGTCCTCTTATTCAGCAAGGCACTACTTGTAAATCATGGCTATATATAAGTACAGAGCTTGAATTGATAAGCCAAAACCTAAGGCTTGAACTCTTATTTTCAGGGGTAATTTTTGAACCAAACATTTGTAGTTACCTTTCAGATAAGACAACATTATTGTCTAAGTACTAACGTATTTTACCTAGTGTTGGGACATGTCATAGTTATGGGACACTGTTTTAGTTATAGACTTAATAAAGAAAAACATTAACACAACATAGAGTATACAGAATCATATCAGACTTTGTACTTAGAATTTCCATAGGGCTTTGAATTTAGTATTAAAATTACAGGTTTGCTATACTACTAGTATGGAAACTATCATATATTTAGTATAAAAATACCTAATTTCAAACAAGTTTAGCTATTCAGGTACCAAATCAAAAGAAAAAATTGTAAAATTATTTGGTTTCCTGGCAGAGGTATACTAAGGCTTGGGCCTTGATGGCTAAGTGGTTGCTGGTTGATCAGAATTCTACAAGGCCCAAGTCATTAGTTCAAACCATGGTAATTATTTATTAAGTGTAACATACCTTACCAACAACTTCAGTATCACTTACCTCATCCATACTAGTCAATACTAAGGTTTCAGAATCTTCTTTATCTGATTCTAGATCAAGTTCTCTCTGTCTGTGATATTTTCCTCCTTTTAGCAGCCATAATTGTACTTTTTGTAGCTGTTCTGTTTACCTTATACCTTCCAGCAACCTCTAATTTCTTTTTATCCTATTCTTTATACTTGCAATAGAACTTAGCTAACTGTTTGGTGCCAAGTAAAAGCCTACCAGGATGCTGTCTGTAATCAGTCTTTGTAGGCTTCAGCAATTGCTCTGCAGCATTGGCCTCCTTCTCAGCTGTCAAGAGGATTGGCTGGACCTTATGCCAGTGAGCTTGTTTGACAGGTCCAGACTTGGCTGAAATTTGATTGTGAAGTATACTTTTAGGGATTTGGTAAGCAGTGGTAAGCAAGTAGACAGAGAGGGTAGGATCAGCTCTATATACTTTGAGGGTTTGTTGGATCTTCTCCTCCTTGTCATCTTGTTTCTGAGGTATTTTAAAAAGGTTCAACCTGTTTGTTGCCTAATTTGATAAGTTTTTATAATACCAAGATGTAGGAAAAATAAATTTCTAAGAGAGAGGTTTGACTTCAACACTAGCAGTTCAAATCCATGACTTGAAATAAATACAAGAGTATTTTCCTTCAAAATATAGAGTATGGCTCTCCAGACCTAGAGCTTTTAGCAGCTCTAAAGTAATGTCTAATAGTTGCTATTCTTCTCTCTCCAGCCTTATTTTATATTCTTATATGTATTTCTTCCTACCCTATATATATCTGCAACTCAAGAACTCAAAATTACTTTAATTTCATTTAACCTCTACCAGCCAATCTCTAGGCAGTCTACCATTATTGTCTATAATCCTCAGATCCATTAGGTTTATATTTGTTGAGATATGAGTATTTTACAGGTCGCATTACTCAGTTGCCAAAGTGTCCCATAACTGACATGTCCTAACACTAGGTAAAATATGTTAGGTTCTAATAAAATCGTATTCATATAATAATTAAGTTCTAGGTTATAGGTATTAGGACACTTCTGTAAAAAATCACGACAAAACTAGTCTACTAGTAAACCCTTATCCCTACAAGAATATTAGAGGAATAATAGGAATTGGAGGTGTGGCTGAGGTATGTAATACCTTTCACACCTTTACACCAAAATTGCAACTTTTCAAAGTCTAAAGGAAAGTTATTGAGAAGTCCCAAGAATACAAGAAAACCTGGCACTTATTCTCCTGTATCATCTCTTTAATTATCATATTTTTTTTCTTCAGCCGATATAGTAAGTGCTGAGCCTATAGGATTTGAAAATTACTGGATTCCTGGTGCATGTTTTTGTTGTCAGGAACCATACATAATTCACTATATTTTTAGCTTTATCAAATGTTTCACTTGTCTCCTGAGCAGGTATTATTTCACCTTGCTCATCCTATCTTAGCAATTATTGGCTCAATTCCGATCGGTTGCCACGGGATTGCTGTTCCACCGGAGGGGAGGGCCCACCCTTAGACGCTTTGCACCGTACCCGGGGCGGGGCCGATTGCAGAAACGAATGCATTCAACAGGATCACGGTCAATTTTGCTACAATAATAGATAAATCCAGTTTATCATTTAAGGGAACAGATAAAGGTTCATGAACAATTGAATCTAGAAATCACAGGCCCCCTGTTCACTACACTACTCCAACACTACAATGCCCATCCATCCACACCATACTGTAAAAGCCCTCTAATCCACAACCATCGTCACCGCCACCGCCTCAACAAGGGAAAGAAAAAGGGAAGAAGAAAAACTCGTAAAAGGTAGAGGCACTGGATTCCATAGGAAAACGAAGGAAGCTAACAAGGGGCGGAAAAAGGAAGCAAAACAAATTACCCTCAGATTACCACAAGGGAGAAGGAAAAAAGAAAAAAAAGCAAAGAGGAATGATAGTTAGCCCCCAACAAATGACTGCTTCATGATTGTGAACAAACAACCCATACCGTCTTCTAGCTTGGGACATGGGACCTCTCCAGCCCCAATTATTGATTTGGATCCGACCATTTCTTGATATTTAGCGCAGTTGTGTACGCCATAACAACAAAACCAAAAATGCAAAGGCCTATATCGGCAGCTTTCATGATGTTTGAGGTATTGAGCGCTCGCATATGCAGGAGAGGTGGATAAATGTATACGAGGGGGATACATGCGAAACTTCCGATCAAGGCAACAAACTAGGAATTATAATATCAGTGGTGTGGAACAACGGAAGTGGGGCTTGGATGTACCTTGTCAAGATCATCGGCACCACCCCAAGAGATGAGAGCGGTGACAAAAACTGTGATGAAGCGGAAGGTGTTCTTTTGCCATTTAACAGAGGGGTTGTTTTTACCGCTGCGAGGGAAGAGGCCGGTTTCCATAATTCTATAGATCAAAATTAGGCGCCGTCTATCACAAAAAAAGACCAATATATCAACAAACCTGATAGCAGGGAAGAGCTGCAGTGGCGTCGACAACAGAATAGCCAAAGAGTAAAGGAACTGGACACTGGAGAGATATTAGCCAGCGCCCAAACGAATACCGACACCAGTACTCACGCATTAACAAATTTATCGTCCTGTGGTAAGTTTAAGATGATAACAGTCCTAGTCCCACTACCATAAGCAGCATAGCTCAGGGCACCCATGCTAACAAAAATGACCGTAATAATGACCATAACTCCACCCAACACCTTCGGGAACTTGTGGGGATGCTTCATTGTCTCTTGGATGGGAATAATAAGACCGATCCCCTCAAAAGTGAAGATGGCAGTTCCAATAAACAGCGTCCAGTCCTTATTATTGAAGTTGACAACGTCAGAAACACCCTCAGTAGCCAAGGTGAAAAAGTCATAGTAATAGAGATAGATGAGTCCGAGCATGATGAAAAAATCGGCAATGAGGGCAGTCCCCCCCAATTTCGCCATATCTCGAATCATGGACATTGGGAGGAAAACTATAAGTTGCGTGAGAATCAGGTATTTGATTTCAATCAACCTTTCACCGTTTGTTACCGCGACTAGATATTGTTAGCTAAATGGAAATACGCCGAGTCCGGAAGCACTTACGGATGAAAGCTTGGAGATTTTCGGACGTAAACACGATGTAGGCAGCCGCAAACCCGATCTGTGAAAGGATGATAGAACCCAAGATCAAGAAACGCATCTTCTCTCCGTATAATATCCCACCGATGTCGCCAAAACTACCGGCTACGCTCAGTCGGGTCCTCACTAACAATACGAAGCAGTAGTATGACAATGCGGCAACAAAAAGTAAGACCAAATTGGAAAACAACATTCCGCCATTCGAGTATCTGTAATTCGTTAGAACTACACTCTGAGCCCATAATGTTGCTCACAGGACTTACGCTTTCGGTAGGAACAGAACTCCTGTTCCAACGAAACTCTTAAGAAGTAAGAGTATCGCCTTGCCGGACCCAGCGGTCCCTTGGGAGATACTTCTCGATCTCCTCCTACCAGAAGCCCGAGCTCTACCGGCAAGCAGCGCACTACCTTCGCCAGGCTCTTCCTCATCCTGGCCTCGCCGTCCCTCTTCCGCTATCAGCGCCTCGTCACTTGTCCAGGCCTCATCATCTTCCTCCAAATCTTCGCCCGCAAAATGGCCATGTAAAGTCAAGAACTCGATAAAATTCCTGGTCAAAAACGGTCTTCCAGGCTGGGTTCCATGGCCATCACCAGTTGGGCTGGCACCTTCATTCCGGCGGATGTAATTCCTTCTAAACCCTCCAATCTGCTTGATGCTACTGATGTCCAGGGTATCATCCTCTGGCTCAGGGCGAGGCACATGGAATGATCGTGACCTGCTTCGCCTGCCCCCAGTCGCCTCTATACTCTCAACGTACCTGTAAATCGGGCGAGTGATGTCCCCACCCTGCAATTGTAGTGACGAAAACTCCTCATCCAACCCACCACCAGCGCCCCGGCCACCGGACGAGCTGCCCCCAACCAGACTTGTAATCGACGGATCTTCGGTCACCAAATGCCTCCGCACAACCTCCGGGTCTTCAATCGGCTGGCGCGAGTCAAACGAACCATAATGTACACTGGGCGGTTTCGATGACGAATTCGCAATATTTATGCCAAACCCAGAGCCAAAGTTTGCGGGCGGGGGTGTCCCATACCTAGTGGGAGTGCCCAGTCGTGGGGGGGTTCCAAATCTCGGGGGAGTTCCGCCAGAACCGGCCCAACTTATCTGAGCGAGGGGATTCGACGCGCCAATCACCGGGGAACTAGGCCTTGGGGTGGAAGCCGTGGGAAACCCATGCGAGAGAACGGGAGAGCCCAACCGAACGGTGGCCTGTTCGCGGAGAGCTGGGGTGGTGGAACGAGGAGACCCGGGACGAGGCGCAGGAGATGGAGCTCTCTGTGGGTAACTCGAAGCGCTGGATTCTGGGGGCGGTGATGGAGGCATTTGTACAAGCGATGAACAGGTGCACACCAATTTAGGGATTCAGTTCAGTGTATTGCTAGCCGTAGAAGGGGAAGGTGAGCCAGCAGATCGAGGATAGTAGGCAGGCGGGGGGGTGTTGTCAAGATGATGGTAGAGGAACAGAAAGCGAGATGGAGGTTGAAAGCAGATTCAATCCGGACTGAGGTGGAAAGCCCCGGGGTTCGGACAGAGACGGGAAGACAGGCATGCAAAACCAGGGTCTGCATGCCGTCCGTAAACAAAAAGAAGGTAGAAGCGTTTTAACTGCGGTTACGTTGCCAAGAAATTTCCCGATCAATTTTCACACACAACGATATTCCCCAACAGGGCCACAATCCCCCACTAGTGTATCCCTGCCCCGCCGGGCAAGGTCGATATCGTTCACCCAGAGGAGCTCTAAGTTAACTCTGCAACCCTAGGGATATTCCCATCGAAACTGCTGTGAGAAAATTTTCCCTATCGATGAAGAGGGGTATTTTTTTTATTTTTTTATCTTGGTAGTTTTCGCCCGTTTTCTTTTGCTCCTTGCATGGCCTGCCGGTATGTGCAACAGCAAAGGCGGGCGGCCCCTCAAATGAAAGGAAAGAAATAAAAATGATAATAAAATAATATTAAGCTAGATGGAAATATTGCCATCCGGGCTCTCTTGGGGCCTTCGTTGCTAAGGTCTCCTGACTGCTCCAGTATCCATTTCACTTCGTTCATCGTCCAACCAGAATTACGGGAGAGAGCGTGATTGCAGCCACTCCGGAAGGCGTAAGCATTTTCCACATTCATCTCCCCTTCTCGATCCCTATTGATCGCAGGCGGGTCCAATGAGATCCTAGTACCCAAGTATACCGGGTGGTTGCTGGAAATAAAGGCTTGGTCGTACCTCAGATCGACGGCTTTGCACCGAGTACTCGGGCACTCGAGTAAAGAGGGATCCCGTATCATACCAGCCCCGCAGAAGGTGTAATCACTCTCGGCCCTCTCTCCAGAAATACAGCCCCCCGGAATATGATGAGGTCCACTAATATTGCCTGCTGCGCGAACTGTGGTACCTGTAGGGTACAAGGCCCCCTCCCCTTCCCCCCTATACTATTTAACGGGTGACGAGCAAAAATGGGTCACAAGGGCACCGTAGGGCTATGCGTGGCTTGCGCTTCTTGAGTCCTATTCTTTCGTTATGGTGATGCGAAGAGGTGATCTTGAGAGCGGTAGCCGGCCACACCCACCGTATCTAACCTTTAAGACTTGCTATTATAGTCTCCACTGGATCAGCGGGGTTGGGGGATTCTTATCGTTGGATGTCGCTCTGCACTTGTGTGGAGTGTGGAGGTGTCGGGGAGACAGCTGACCGGAGGATCGAGTGATCTTTTGTGCGTATAATCTGGTCATTGTGGTGGTCAGCAACCTTTCCAGCAAGGGTAGCGCGGATCGGTCCGTCAGGACTTATCGTGCGGATCCTCCGCTGTGCTTCTGCAATATGCCAGATTATGACTGTCGCAACAGCCTTCCAATCGTGCAGGTAATGACTTGGTATCATTTACCTAACAACTCCCATTGGGAACATACGGGACCTTGTGGCACGTATAGCACCGTCTCTGGTATACTGGTGTTGTATTTAATGGTACAAGCGTTAGCATCTAGGTTTTTGTGCCGCGGGACTGAGATAAATTTACAAGGATCACCCGAGGAATTCCACTGGGGGTAGGATATGAAGGCAATCGGAGTCCGTGAACTACGGAAACTATCATGTAAATATTATTGCTCCACTTCTTCGCAAGTTTCTTTGGGCGACAAGCCAACTCAACAATCGAGCGCACAGCAAACGACTGTCGTCAAAATCCAAGGGTCGAGTAGCATATTGAGCTTAGATGGCATTAGATGGCATATGGAATTAATAACTCAACAACCAGAAATTATCACAAGGATTCAGGTAAGGCAATGAAATCGAAGATCTATGAAGCCTTGCTAACAAGAACACATATCCGAGCAGAAAGGAGCCACTATAACACCAGCCTGATTTGAACGAACATAGTGTTCATCTGTGCACTTCTCAAAAATGGTATCATTAAGTCGTGAGCACGTCCCGAACAACTTAAGCGCATCCACCAACCTTTCTTCCATAGGCTATGATTACCACGGTTTGCATTCTATGCACTATCAGGATCTATGCTTTCGAGTGATTTGAACAGGAGGGGGAGAACGAGCCTTGCTGCGTCATCAAGACTCCATATCGTTTCTTTAAAGTAACCCTGTGCCTTTGGGATCCATTAGCTACACGCTGCCCACCTCGGCAAATCGCCCAATGTAGAGAGGGAGGGGGAATATGTGGAGGAGGAGGGCTCAGAAGGAACAATTGGATAATTTAGAATAATGTTTGCATCCTCAGGAATTGCTAGGAACGCTTCACATAGTACTCATCACGGCGATCTTTTACCTCTAATCTTTCCTCTTCCCTTCTCTTGGAGCGGGGATGGGGGGAAATTACCTTGAGTATTTATCGTCGGGCGAGAAACGCGCCGGGTGTGCAGACTTTGTGATCGCTCCTTCAGCGGTGACCTTCTTCAGGGTGTAGATGCGGTTGCCGTCTTTGTCGAGGGTGTACATGAGATGCATTTTTCCGGGTGGTGTGGATGACGAGCTCTGGTTTGATAATAGGGAATAAAGATAAGTTGGGGTTGAAGACGAAGTCGCAGTACGATACAGTAATGTGCAGGTTGGCTGGTGTCGGGGGAGGGAAAAGGTTTGAGAAGGGACTCGCGCGGGTTAGGGGAGTTTGGGACAGCCAATTGAGTTGCAGTGCCAAGGGTAAACCCCGGGGCCGCCAGCCGCGCCCTCGTCGCCTAACAGGCGCCCATTCGCGAGATTTGGGGATTGCAGCTCCCGGCGGCGTTGCTAGTGATTCCCGCCACCCAGGTCCGACAGTGCACACTCTTTATCCCTCGTAGTCTATAATTACCGGTACTGCTGTGATTTCCTAAAGGGACGACCAAAATTTGCGCTCGAAAATTTGTGCAGATTTGGGCTCGGTTTTATCTGCGGTAGTTGTAAGATACTGTGCGACTAGTGAACCCTGGCTCCGACATCTTTACCCAACTCCATAACCTGGCCATGTGTGATCCTAAGGCATGCCCATGATATCATCTGCCCATGTTCCATGTCCAAGGTTCCTGGGAAAACCAGAGTACAAACATCGGTTTATAACCTACAGGTATCTCCATCCCCTCATCCCCAACGCACTCACCCTTCGTTGCTTTTGCTAGCGAGTCACCCCGCTCAGAAATAATGTCAACCCCTACTACCAGAATTGACGTTATCTCCCTCCTTTCCTCTTCCTCCGGGATCCCGAAACCGAGCCGAAAGTGCTCCCGTACTGCGACCCCGCAACTCGATATTGTCACTCCTTCAAAGCCTACCAGCGAGCCTCCCACCGGGCACGTCATTGAGACTTTGAGGTTAAAATACGTCGGTAGATCCACCCTTAGGAAACACCTGGGCAGCCTCTCGAAAGTCGAACTCACCAAAATGATACTCGAAACCGTCTACCCTCAGCCCGAATTTGCCGAGGGAGTCTGGCATTGCGTGTACTGTCACGAGGCCTACGACCCCAAGACAGACAACTACGACTGCTCCGTTGAGCATTAGGTTACGGGGGGTTGGGCGATGACAGAGGTGGAGATGCCAAATCATACTATTGCTGTGGGAAGTCAATGGATCACTGTGGGCACGGTGAGGACTGTGCGCAGAGTACGAGGAGGAGAATAGGTATGATACTGTTGGCAGGGGAAACATAACACCAGGTAACTGAGGGGAGGGGATCCCGAGGCCGTGGAAGTGGGTGGGAGGGTTGGCACGGTAGTGGGAGGACTTGTAAGGATTTGGGATGCAAGCCTGCTGAGAGTGTGGTTAAGGGTGGGGAAGTAGGGGGGAGAAGGGTCAGGGTTTAAAGGGATTCGGGGCTGTAGGGTAGGGATGCTAAAGCATTCGATGGTGGAATTTTTGAGGCTTCTTGGGGCACCACACCGGTATCTGATATCAAAACGCTATTACCAGTACCGGTATGATAGCCCCCCATGTGGTGGGGGCTTAGGGCGATGCTTATGGAGGGGTGATCTGTGATACCGTATCGCGCTGTATCATTTACCCGTAGGTTGATTTTCATCGAGCGAGAGAGCGACAGGGGACAACTGGTGGGCAGGAGATACCGGTGAGAGGGTGGGATAGCGCGGGTTATTATAACATGGGAGTGTACGAGTATGATAGCCCCTCTCTTTGCGTTCATGACGGGTCGGGCCTTGTTAAATTGGGGCTCGGGTGGTAGGCTGGCAGGGTTGGTTGTTGCTGCTCTTCATGGGATGGCCATAACTTACTGAGAGCGGAATTGGGGTGCTGTTCGGTGCATCGAAGTACGGTAGACATTTGTACGAGTACCAGTAGCCTTGATTGATGCAACTCCTGATGCTGGTCGGCCACCGACTCTAGCTGGTATCGAGCACCAAGCAGGGTGGGGCCAGGATAATATAATACTCGAGTACTACAGTATCAGGATTGAAGCAAAAATGTGAGGTGGATTCGGAGAATTCTGCTTTTTTCTTCTAAAGTACCGACAAAGACCATGGTACCGGTAATTTACAAGTCGTTTAAGCATCTCAATATCCCTCCTCCGCGGATGGGGCACGAGTGTGGAGTGCCGGTACTCGAATATAGACTAGGGTGCTTTTCAGTGCTCGATTCCTCGCTTATCGATAAGGTTGGGACGCAGCCAAGCAAAGTGTCGGAAGGCTCACGTTTCCCTCTGATTGGCCCAGACATGGTGAGAGTGTGGGGAAGATGCAGACAGGCTCTACAGTACAGTACCGTAATGGCTGGCCGCCCAGTCTGTCTCTCGGCTCATTGGGCGGGGAGAGGGGAAGCAGCAGGAAGGAAGGGTGTGTGTGTGTGGGAGAGACGCCTCCCCTCGCACAAAACTACTTACATCGTGGGGCTGTGGTGGACCACTTTCCATCCATCCACCCCACCCAATCTACCGTAGCTTGCTCTCGAGTACTGTACGGTACTCGTACTGTAAATTTACGAGTACCCATACGCTGGTGCACCCATGTCCCTCTCCCCTTTTAAATCCCGCCCCCCCCCCCCCAGAGCCCGTTTTATCCATCCTCTCCTTCTGAATCCTCTTGCCGTCCCTCCGCCATCCCCCACAACCCCCTCCTCCACCTATCCCTCGTATCCAAACACCGAGTCCGATTGAAAACTCTCGAGCCCTCAGGATGCTTATTCTCCGTGCTGTGGTCAAGTCGAGCCGTTCCCCTCTCCCTGTCAGGACAGGTGTGAATGGTTTGGCGGGCAGGAATAAGGTGAGGTCGTTTGTGGCGGTGGCGGGAATCCCGACCGAAGGATACCTGCTGACAAGGCCTCCATGAGCATCCAGCCTATTGGTGGGGTCTCGTAAGTCTAACGCCATCCCATTCGCTCAGCAGTGAAATACGGACTCCGTACATGGCTCGCTTCCACTTTTTTTCATATTAACACTCTTTATACAGCCCGTTCACTTTATCGGCTTCTGCCTGCAGACCTCTTATCGAGGGAGTGCCGTCCATTCCCAAACTTCACGAATATTCTACAAAACCGGATATGCCTATACGAGTGGTGAACCTCCTCCTCCTGCTCCTCCTGCGCCTCCTCTGTCAATCATTTGCCTCAACGGGATTTATTTATTTATTTATTTGCTTACACGTACTTTGTCGGTAATAAAGCCCCTAACCCCGGACAACGAAACTGCGCGCTTCCATCGTCATGAATATGTCCCTGAAGTCCAGCGCCCGCACAAGCCCGTGATATTCACTATCAATGAAGATCCCGCCACCGTTTCTTCGGAGGTCGGCGCTATATTGGGTAATGCTGATGCGGAGGTCTACATGAAGAAGATGAACCCCGATGTGCCCGAGATGCCCAAGAGTGAGAAGGTGGAGTTTTAGTGGCCCGCCCTCTTTCTTTTTTTCCTTTTGGCTTCTCGCTCTTTGTATTGGTTTTGGTCTTAAGGCGTTCTGTTTATTCGCTTTCACTATGACGGTAATCAGGAAAAAAGGTTAAAAGGATCAAAGGCTGGGAAAAAAAAAAACGGAGGGGTTCAACTTACGATTTACGATTATGTTCCGCTATGATCTTTAGCCGTGTTGGGTGCCTGTGGTGGATATATGTATTAGGTTGATCTTATGTTATTTATTCTCTTGAGGAATTTTATGTCCTGCACCGTCGTCTGAGGATCTGGGTTACGTTGGGTTCGTGGAAGTCCTTGATCGCAGTTGCCCATAATTTCCACGATACCCCAGGTCGCAGTGCTTCACGACGAATTTCATTCCTGCTTAGGGATACACCTAGTCTCGTGAGCCAATGACCTCCTGTATAACGCGTCGGGAAGTTTCTTGCCCCGCTTCATACTCGCACTGTAAGATCATCAGGAGAGGATCACTGTGTCATGACGTTGTAATTGCTACTCATGGCAAGGGGCAGGGGGTGTATTCCATCTGCTCTCTCTCTCGACTGAGGGCTGGGCTCGCGGCGTACTCCCCTCGCGTAGCTGAGAAGGGGTGTTCCGATGCCTGAGCACATTTCCCTTCTATCATACCGGCGAGGTATTAGCTCCAGTTCTTATGATACTGTATGCGCATCTCCATTGACTACCGTAGGGGTAGCCCCACGAGTGATACTTCATGCTGGAAGTTCGTTCTCTGGGGTAAGCAATTTCCCTCTCCTTCGAACTGGTCACATGTTAGCTATCTACACGAGTAGGGACGTCCACTGGGCTATTTTTCATTCAAAAAGGGGATGGTAGGTATAGGCACCAAGTGTCACTCGGGATAGATACAAACCCTCGATCTGGGGGCTGGCGTGCAAAACCTCCTAATTACTTATTACGGCTTCCTTCTCTGAACACCGAACTTCCATCATGCCATGCTGCGCTCTCTATCCCTTCACTTTCTTGGCCACTTTATCGCACCTGCATACATCAAAGTCCACCCCACACCCCACACGCCCCTTCTTGGTTGCCTCACTGCCAAGCCATTCCGACCCTTCCCACCACCACAATCAATAGTCTTACTAAATATTTGTCAACAGAAGAATGTCTCTTCCGTCCTCAACCTTCCTCTCCTCCATTCCCTCCTCACTTCCTCGAACCACAGGGGTCTGGCTAGAAAGCAGCGCACAATGACCACCATAGCAGAAGACTCCGCCCCCCCCGCCTGCAAAGTCATTTATGCCTCGGCCGTGGCCGAGGGCATACTGGGGGAGGTCAAGGGCTCGGTTGAGAGGCTGGGACGTACACCGTTGCTGGTTGGGTTTCTGGCGAATGGCGATCCAGCGGCGAGGATGTATGCAAATTGGACGGAGAAGACTTGTTCACAGAAGTTTGTGCGCTCTTTATCATCACCATTGTCATTTTTGATAGTTTTTTATTTTTGGAGGGGGAGAGCTAACGTGCTGTAGCGGGGTAAGGTTTGAACTTAGGGAAGTGGACAAGGACGACCTTGAAGAGAGTGTCATCGCGGCGAATACAGATGATTCGGTTGGGGGGATCATTGTTTATTATCCGGTTTTTGGGAGTAGTCAGGTTCGATACTCCGTCTGCTGCGAGATTATAGAGTTAATGAGAAGTAGGACGCATACCTCCAACAGATCACCTCTAAAGAGAAAGATGTCGAGGGCCTTTCACACGCTTACTTGTTCAACATGTACCAGAACATCCGCTTCCTCGATGCGGAAAAGTTGCAGAAGTCGATCCTTCCATGCACACCCCTGGCTATCGTCAAGATCCTCGAGCACATCTCCGTGTACAACTCCATCCTGCCTTACGGTAACAGGCTCTTTGGGAAGACCATCACTGTCGTCAATCGCTCGGAGATTGTGGGACGTCCACTTGCAGCGCTGTTGGCGAATGACGGGGCAAGCGTATACTCTATCGATATTAGTAACGTGCAGTACTTTACCCGAGGCGCGGGGATCAGGAGACGGCAGCATCAGGTTCATGACACAGAGTTAAAGCTCGAGGATGTGGTCCCCAAGAGTGATGTTGTGATTACTGGTGTGCCGAGTAAGGAGTATAAATTTCCTGTGGAGTTGTTGAAGGAGTATGTTGCCTCACCGTAGTATTAGGGATCACGCGTCTAATGGGGATTGCCATAGTGGCGCGGTTTGCGTAAACTTTTCTTCGGAGAAGGTATGTTTCTCATGTCCCCCTTAATTGGATTATGGGGCCGGACGGGAGTTTTGAGGGCCGACATGGAGTGTATAGAATTTCGGGCCGGAAGTCAAGGAGAAAGCGTCGATATATGTTCCAGCCATTGGGAAGGTTACGATTGTGGTTCTTCTTAGAAATCTTTTGGTATGTTTATTTGCTTTAATGGGGAGATTTGGTGGCTTTCGTGCTAATATTTGACTGCAGAGGGTTGTGGAGAACCGTCAGCAACGAGAGGAGGCGGAGAGAAAGGAGAGTTTGTAGCCTTCGGAAGGGGGTTTTTTTTTTTTAAAGACGGCACGGTTACATTACCGGTAGTAGAATTTGCATGGAGGCATGCTTGGTGTTAGCTGGGTTTATTTATTGAGGGATTTGGTTAGACTGTGCACGGCACTCGGAGCGTGGGATAACTTTTTCATCCGACACTCTTAGGGCCTGTTTGGATGAAATGGTTCTGTTCCGTTAGCCCATGCAAATGACCATTTCCTTACTTTTCGAAAAGGTTGTTGCCAAAAGGCCGTTTGGCACACCCGCTATTAACCTTTCTGTTTCAATGGTTGACCGTTAGCAACAACCTTTTCCACCAGCCAAACCAGTGTTGGCGGTGACCAGGGCTGATGAATTGACCAGTGCTGGCCATGAATATGGTCAGTGGAAGGGGGTGACTGGGGGTGATGGGTTGTTAGGGTTATGGTGGAATACCTACAATCAGGGGACTGCTTTTTGTCATCCACAATAGGTATTATAACTGCAATATTATGGAGGTACAGCTCTTATATATATTTTGCTAGCAAGGGGTGTGCAGAGGCCACAAATTGGGTAATTTTCAGTGAAAGTTACGATTCTATTCCCACAAACCCTAACCCACTATTTCATTGACCCCTGCTGTGACCAGTACTGACCATTGGTCATCGCATAGGGGGGTGACCAGTGGTCACCACCAAAACTGAGTCAAACCATTTCACAAGGGAATGGTTACCACTTCTTAGGGCCTGTTTGGCAACGACCGTTCCGTTCCGTTCACCCATACAAAATGGCCGTTCGCGAACGGAACCATAAGGCAATTTGTATGGACGAACGGAACGGAACGGTTGTTGCCAAACAGGCCCTTAGGCTTTTTGGCGGGAACGGAACCGTTCATGAACGGTCCATTTCAAAATTGGTGCACTTGCTGAAATAGACCACTTCCGTTCTGAAACAGTTTCCCACATAACACCTATTTGTATTAATAGTGAACGGTTTGTTGTCAACTAATATGATAACTATCTATAGTGCATAGTAACTTCAGGGGTAATACCCTTGTAAAAATCCTGTTTCTTTGATAAACAATTAATAAAATAAATCCTATCTTTAGTGCCAATCTCTCTCCTGTACAAAAAAAACTACCTCACCTCAAACTTTTTTGTTTTTTTAAAAAAAACCATATTACAAAAAACTGTTCAATTTATTCACAAATACAAAGATGAATGAGTATACTTAACAATTGCAGTATATTATGATTACAAAATTTATAACAATAGTTTACTAATATAAAGACATAGTTCACAATTCAATATAGACTAGAGATTAGAAGTAATGTGATAATATTACAACTGTCCAATGGCCTTCAAAATCCTGCCCACATTGTATCAATCATCCCCCAGCATAAAACTCCTAACCACTCCCTTAAATTTAAAGATAAGGAAAATATTACCATAGTAGCAATGAGAAGTCCTAATATATCTCCTCAGAAGATGGCTGAAATTCAGATTTTAGACCACATTGAAGTACCTTTCTCCTTTAACAGAGGTAAGCAGTAAAATCTTGCTAGCTCCAATAATGTCTAGTTGAATGGTTTTCTGAAATGACTACAGTTGTATTACACAAGGTAGTTCAAGCTATTAGGGATAGAAAAAGATCAGAAAATGAGTTTAAGATAGAGGTTTAGGATAAGATAATAGAAGAAGTTCCTTATATTGCTGGACCAGGAGCTCTTATAATAGAAGAAAGATATTAAAAAAAGATAGAGACTTTGAGGAAGAAATAGAAATTATGGAAAAGGTTGAAGGATTTAAGTAGATTTAAGATTGATATTACTACTAATATAGTTATAGCATTGGATGATATCTGGAATAAGGGAATTAAAAAACAACCTAGAATATGTAAGTTTTATGACAAACTACTTACCAATTCTTTTGAGTTGGTAGAGATTCTTGAAGGAGTTCAAGCAACTGGTTGTCATGCAATATACTTTAGACATAGGTAATTTCAACCAACAAAGTTCAGATCCTCTCTCTACTTGTCCTGTCCTGGTATTTGTGAACACAACCAGCCCTGAATTAGCGTGCACAGAGGTGCATTAGCATGTATTAGGGGCATTTTGATTGAGTAGGCAAACTAAAATTATATTGAAGAATAATAAAATAACATGGGTGGTGAAAGCAAGAAATTGGAGTTTAGATAAAAAAATTATAAAAAAATAATGAATGAAGAAAGAAACAACAGGAGAGAGAAGAAAAGATGAATACAAGATTTAGAAATTAAAGTTGTTGCCACCATTATCAGTAATACAAGCTTTAATGCAGGTGGACATTGATTCAATATGGTGATTGATTCGCTCCACAGGATAATTCTTCTATTCCTAGTAGAATTTCTTGTATTAGAAGTTAAATTAATAGTATATTCGTAACAATATAATAATACATACCTGTTTAAGAACCCAGTGGATCTCACGAACCGACATCCGATGACCAATTTTATCATGTAACTTATCCTTTAACTTAGTCTAAATTGTTACAATTGGATTTAAGTCCAGAGAGTTAGCTGGCCAAACTAAGTTCCAATATCCTAAACTTTCCCTAGGAATATTATGATAATGGTAGATATGTGCTGGAGCAATATCCTCCATTATTATAATATTCCTATTGGGAAATTGCTCTATAGCCTCCTATGTAAAAGGATAAAGAAGGGGGGATAAAATCCGTTCCCGATAGATATACCAATCTATCCCTCCATGGTGATCAAGTTTTCGAACCTTGAGTACAGGATCTGGGAACGGGACTGGAAATCCCCCTGCTTGTGCCTGAGTATTTTCTTCTACTTCTACTTCATACTCTCTCTGCAGAACTACTAATGCCTCCTTTTGCTGATTTGTAGTTTCATAAGGTGAGGTGTACATATGGTATGGAAGTTCATTTTCTTTTAAAATATATTATATTAGCAATTATGTACATTAAAATAACAATATTAATGATAAAGAAAATATAAATAATAATAAAAAAATAATACTAATAACAATAGAAAATAATCAATAGAATTACCTGATTTACCATACAAAATTGCTCCCCAAAACATCATAGTTGCTCCCTGTACAAACTTTCTTTGGAGGTTTTGAGGCTTATAAGCCTCACTGGCATGTCTTAAAACTCCACGAGTACAGGGGCGATGTAAGTTTCCCATTTCAAAGTAGGACTCATCAGTAAAAACGACTGATTTCCAATCTAGATTTCAATAACCATTGCAGAAGTTAAGATGTGCTGCTTTCTGGGCTGGGCTGAGGGTGGGCTTGATTGTTGGCTTTTGGCGAAAGATTTTATTAGCTGAAAGGACTCGGGATACAGTTTGTCAGCTAACATTTAAATTTGCTTTTATGTATATTTATTTATTAGCAAATAATATGTAATTACAAAACAAAAAAGAACATTACCAGCTTCTGCAAGTTGCGAGAACGTCATTCGACAATGTTCTGCATCTTTTAATACAGTTTCAACTAGATGACTCCTTTGAGCATCTGTCAGGGCCTGATTGGAACCCTTGATGGAATTGGGTAAAGGAATAAGATTTTCGGTAGCGGACAAGTCAGTAATGCCATTTTCACTCGCTCGCTATTTGGCTGTTCTAATGATATTAGAGCAGGTACTCTTCAGGACTCCAGCCATCTCTGATATTTGAGCTAATGTCATTTTGTGAGATCCATCCAGCATTGAATATCCTAGGACCTGACCTAGCTTACTCAAAGATGTTGTCGGACTGTGTGTTGCAGGTATTTTTGGACTATATTGAAAGAATGAAGTTGCGAGGTACATTATACTTCTACATCTACGAGCAAGAACGTCATATATTATCATTTCTGACTAAGGTATCTATTTGCTTCTGATTGGTTGCTGTCCAGAGAGTGCACTAATGCACTCTTATTAGCACTAATGCAGGCTCAGTTGTGTTCACAAATGCCAGGACAGGACGAGTAATGTGGAGTAGTAACTAACCAAGACCAGATAAGTACTAATACAAGTCCTGATCAGCTAAAAAGAAGCAGGTGTTACGGCCACCAGGATTAGAATGGTGTGGTTACTGTGCAGGGTTTCCTTTGTGTCAGATGGGTCAGGTGTCATGTAGTATCAAGTAGTTGGATTGTGGAATGGAAACTGATGGAAGAAAAAGGACACATTGTGGCTGCGCATGGGTAGCAGAGGATTACAGATCATTGGGTTTTCTTTATCTACAGCCACTAGACAAAAGTCTTGGTGATGGCGCAATATGAGATAGTTTGAGCTACTCCAAATCGTGTAATGCGGTCTCCCCTCCCCCTCTGGCAGCCCTTGAATAACCAAAAAAAAACATTAGATTAAATAGCAAAAATTAAAAATTAAAAATTACAAAAACCAAAAAATTAAAAATTAAAAATTAAAAGTCGACCTAGTATCTAGTATACCACCCTTTAGTATTAATAACTGCTGCAACTCTGGAAGGCAGAGAGCTTGAGAGCTTCTCAAAAAAAAGAATCCGGAATTGTTGCCCATATAAGGGGCAGCACTTCTGCCAGCTGTTGACGAATCCGATCAGGCTCCCCTGTGGTATCCAGGATATTGGGGTATTGGAGGCAGTGGCATCGCTTGAGCTCAACCCAGGAGTGCTTGATGCGGTTGATATCAGGCGACAAAGGATGATAATCTTTGAGGTTGATCCTATTGTTGGTAAACTACTCACAAGTATCCTTGGCTGTATGAACACGAGCATTGTCCTGCTGGAATAAGGGGTCCTCATATTCCTGCTCAATCTCCTTCATTACTAGAGGAAGATGCCTATCTAAGAGAGCAATGTAGACCCAGTAGTCTACTTTGCTCTCTAAAATAAGTACTAAGGGGCCACGGTGGCGGCCCCAGAAACATCCCCACACTATTAAGCCAACCTCATTGGCTTTCCCCCTTGACTTAATGCAATCGGCATGCCACTTCTCCTCCACTGTGCAAAAAACCCATCTCTGGACAGAGTTGGCGGACTTCCTAACGGTATACTTGTGGCTATAAAGTATACCCTGAAAGTCCTCGGCAGTCCCATCCTTCTGGGCAAGAGCCCAATCCAATCTCTTTCTGGCGTGTGCTGCTGTCGACTGAGGGCGGGTCTGTGCAAGCTATTTTTTAATATTGGCTTCGGGCAAAATCCGGTCAATTGTCCCAATTGAAACATGTGGGGCATGCCAATTCCGGAGTTCTAATTGTGTCATGCCCCAATCCCTTGTGGCTGCGCAGATTACAACTCGGCGCTTCTACTGGCTAAGTATGATTGGCCTTTCAGAATGAGGAGTATTTTCTATGTGGCCCCGATCGCATGCCCGGGCAAGAAAGTTGCGAACGGTAGACCAAGGGCGATTGACGAGGGTGGCAACTATGGATATCTTTCCAAAGCTGTCGAAAAGGACTATTATCATTCCTTTTTCCACATCTGACATTTCTTTCCAGGCTGTCTTGGGCTTGTGGCATGAAACAGAATTCTTCTTGGAAGGCATTTTGTTGTATA